TTCTCCCTACAAGTCCGGACATGAGCAACCTTCTATGAAGAGACTTCTACATACAGTAGCACTGAGTGGCCTCAGTCAGAAGGAAGCTGTTGTCTCCAAGAAAAAGTAGGTTGGGTCCACAACCATGAACCAATTCCACTTTCACACCAGTTGGAGGGCGTGGGCTAGTTCAGAACTGCTCATTATACCTTCAGGGTAACGATATGTACTGCTACAGCTGTCCCACACTGGCCTTTTCAAACAGCAGTGCTATCAGCCCTCGCTGTGATCCTTCTCCTAGAGTATCATATTGTAGCAATGAGCTTGTGAAGCCTGAACAAAGGCTGGTGTTGAAGCAGCAGCCATGCCAGTAATCAGCTGAACTGCAATACCTTTACAAGCTGTCACTTAAACTGCTGTATGAAAACCCCATCAGTGCTCCAGTCTGATCAATAGCTATCAGGTAAGAAATAAGCTATATATCTTTGGGACTACATGTTTTGCTTAATGCTTCTGATTGATTTGTGGTGATTTCCTGTGCCTTAAAACCATCAACAAAAGTGCAAATTAAAGATGAATGCTTTGCTCAAACATTTGCCATCGTGTAAGAGCAGAAAATGTTCCTTGTTTTTACAGTCAAATACGTCTCAGCTTTGAGAGTACAGAAGCTTGAAACACTTAGCTCTTCAAAGCTCATTCCCTGCCCATTTCCTACAGCCTCAGAGTAACAAATAGTAAACTGATATTCCTCATTGTAAAGATGTATCTTACTGTAGTTTCTACAATCACTGCTACTGGATTCAAATTTTCAGCCTGAAGAGATTCTGGGGATGGCATTAGGGTCTGCAAACTGGAGGCACATGGTAAGTTACCTTCTGTAATGACTATCAAATAGACCCCATTAATTCCTGCAACTGATCAGCTACACTTATAGCACACAAGCAATCTGGCATTACTGCAGTTAATTTTCAAGAAATCTTGTTATGCTCTGAAATACTTCCAAGAGGAATTAGATGATGAGCTTTTCAGGCAGATATCAGCTTTTATCTTCCATAAGCAAAATTTGCAACTGAACTCCTGCCAAAACTAAAATTTTACACTTAACAGAAGGGATAGTGTATGTTGCTGCCTGAATTAATCTCTGTTATTTAAGATTCAGCAAATGATTACACATGAGCAATATAACATATTTAAGCACATGTTTATGTGTTTTGCTGAATCAAGAAGTTCCACTGATGGAAGGCTTATAGAAGATTTGAATCTACATTTTAAAACCACCCTAACAAGCTTCATTTGCTTTCTGTAAGAGACTGTGAATAAAGATCTGCATTGAACTACTTGATCCTAGGAAACCAGACTGCTTTGGCTTTTACATTACCTGAAGAGAATTATCAGGCCTCTGAAAAAAAAAAAAAAGCTATCTGAGGAGTATGGCTTTTTGCAGAAGGCAAGAGGGGTTTACACAGAGATGTAATAAAAAAGTAACTGACAGAGCAAAGTTCTAAAATGGTGTTATGGGAGCAAGGCTCAACTATCCAAAGCCCACTGAACACATTACAGAGCCAGAAATGCAGCACATAAAAATATGCCTGCTAGGTCATTTACTTTTCCTTTCCATTCTGACCTCAGCTCACTGGCAAGATTTCGGGTTTTTTTAAGGACATCCTGTGCAACTCTGAATTAATGTATTACTGAGTTTTATCCCGAAGTTCTCAGAACTTAGGAAGACAATTAAGAGATTTACCATCTGAGCATTTACAAAAACATCTAAAGGGGACAGAAGTCTCCTGATTATTTACTGTACTTCTGGAGCATTTCCTCATCTTTCTTCATTCATGTTTCAAGAGCTAACCATCACCACTGCAGATGAATCCATCCTTTGCATCTTCACACTTATACGCTAGCAAGGCTGGAGTCTTCACAGAAGTGCCTGCATCTGTGAGTGTATTTTAGGTTAACTCTTAACTACAAGCAACACAAACTCTCCAGCAATGGTGGGAGTTGAAAAGGACAGCACTGGGGCAAGTGCTACATGCTCCCCAGAAAGTGAAGGATGGCCCATTCTGCCACACACTGCCCTTTTCAACCAGGGCACCCTGACAGATGGCACTTGGCACTGAAACCAAAGTTAGAGAAGTGCCTAAGAAGGGATTCTGACTCAGGCAAAATTTCCTATTGAGAGTCTCTTCCCACTTCTCTACGTAACTGCACTTGTCTTTGCTGAGTTGAAAATTCTCACTTCTGAGTGCTGAAATGAGGCCCTTGGAAGCTCCATCACTCATTATCACATTTCAGCATGAGTGGTCTCCAAACCACAACTTTTCCCAAGGATCTGAAATACATTTTTAATTTTGCTGGTTACATATTTGGCCCTTACCTAAATCAGACGTCTTCACGTACAGAATTTTTCCTCTTCAGCTACTGCCTTTTACTTTCTAGATCTGTTATATTGAAAGTAAGGCCGATAACTGATGAAGGACAGTTTGGATCCCTTTTGTTACTTGGGAAATAAAGAAAGGCAAGCTCGCACTCTTACTCTGTCTCAGATTTCTAAGTTGTACTGGGTTAAGCGTGGCAAGGTGTTGATAAGAGCGGCTTTGGTGGGGACCTGGTGTCCAGACGGGGTCAACCCACCATGTGCGTAAGAACTACTGTATAGGCACCTATTTAGGCAGAGAGTACTAACATCCTTCTCTACTCTCCTGCCGAAGGCTCAAAGGCGCATTAGTGTGTGTGCTGTGACCTCCTGCCTAACAAAGGTCATTAATGATCACCCAGTTACCTATGTATTGAATCTAAAAGCTTAGCTCAACTTAAAACCCTTTCCTGAGGGATATTTTGTCTTAATTTGAAAATAACGAAGAACAGAGAATCTACCACTTCTTTTGCTTTTTCATTCCAGCAGTTAATCCTCCTCAAAAACTGTCTTTGATTTCCTATTTGACTTGTGCAAATTCAGCCTCTCATGTTTGCGACTAATACACGAGACCACTTTCTAATGCTGCTTAATGGTAAAAGTATTGACGAGCTCTGGCCACATGTCCCTCCCATAATTTGCCCATACACAGGCTCTCACAATTAGCTTGTCTCCTCCCTTTTAATATGCTATGTAACTCTGCCACATTAGCAACACACCCCCCATTTCAATGCCTAACATAAGAAAGTCCCCACACATTCCCCTTTCAATGGGATTGTACCAGAGGTTGCAGGCAGAAGGAAATCCAAGCCCTCACTTATGAAACATCCTGGTGGATGACAGCCGGGCCCTCCAGCCCACAAGCAGTACAGCGAGAAGCTTGGAAGACCAACCTGGAACACCATTTCCTTGTGTGTGTATGTGACTCATGGGAAGTGCCGTGAATCATGAAATTCCACTGGCATCATGAGGTGGGCAAAACTATGCTCCCAACAGACATGTCTCAAGTTGCCCCGTGGTAGATGTACACTGGCCACACACACCTTGCTAGAACAGTCAGAAGAGCTTGTTGTCCTTTTTAATAATGAAGTCGGGTTTGTATTTTGTTGTTAAAATACATTCCTTGGCCCTTACGCATTCTTCTGAGGAACAGAGTGACCTGTGTACAGATCTCTGTCGTAGCAAGCTTGTATCCTGATTACTTAAATAAAACACATCTGCCCCAGAGAAGAGCTGGAATTTACCCATACAATTAGGTTAGGTTAATGTTGGCAATGAGTGGATAGATATTATCTGATACCGTATTTTGTAATCCTCTGCTAAACAGGATGCTGTTCACTCTGGGAGCCAACAAAATAGCTGCTCTTTCACTGTCAGACTTGAGCAAAGTCAAGAGCGATCCCTGAAGGTTTCAGATGAATTTACTCTAGAACTTGCTAGTGCTCCAGAGTCATTTATAAAGGTCGTTAAATTCTGTGTTCAGGTTACAGGTTTCTTTAATATTTATCTGTACAAATCTCAGGAGAAAAGACAACATTTCTCCTTTCACAAGTCAACTTTACAATGGTCTTTTCATTATCAACTTACTTGGTTCTATGCCAATAATCTTTTACTCTTTTTCTAATCCTTAATTAATCCTTTTTATAAACAATGTACACTTGGCATATTCTACTCAGAGTAAATCTTTTTCTGTCTATATGCATCGCAACAACATCTTCAACATCCAGGCAAATACTTTCAGAAATTAGGTACCTAAATAAATGGGTGGACGTATCAAGAAAAATTACCTGACTCATGAGAACTGAGCTCTCATGCTTCCCTTGAATCTGTGTGAATTTGTGAGCTCTCAGCAGCTACAGACAATACACTGAGGAAGCTTACAACTTAAATTCACAATGCTTGATCGAAGGCAAACGCTTCAGAAAGTGCTGCCCTGAATTTTCCAAGTCCTGTTTTCCCTGAGAAAACCATGACTTCCCCAGATCACATACGGAATAGATCACTTTCAGATGCATTCAGGTTTGAAGAGAAACCTAAAAGGGTCCCAAGAACAGCAAAGAGCAACTAGCGATAAACCCGCAAGTTTTCTCCTGCAAAATGAAATAGCTTAAACTATTTCAACATGCAGTTTCTATTTGTTTTTACCACATTCAAATGTAAGAAAACAATTTTGAGCACTAGGTATACACAGAAATGACAAATATATGTGCTTGGCTAGGGTTAAATTTGGGAATAGGAAGTGAGGGAAAATACAGTTTTGGCTGCATAAGTTTTACTGTTTTTCGGTAAAAATGATAAATGCACATTACAGTTCTGTAAACACAAGTGATCTAAGTATGTAGTGCTTATAATGGCCAGGTTGAAGCCGTTTTGTAAATGCAGGCCTTAAACCAACCAAATACTGTTTTTCTGGGCTGTTGCTTAGGAAAATGCCATTGAACATTTACAGGTGGCAAATAAAAAACAGCTTCTGAAGCTGGAATCTTGTGTGGGAATTTTGCCTCAAGAGCAGGCAAGATGAGGTTTCACTCTGCATACTTGCTGCTAAAGGAATATATATTAGAAAATAAAGCCACTTAATAAGGCTATGGTAGATCTGACTTACCACAAGAGCAGCATGTGAAGCAGTTGGTATGATATAGGTTACCCATTGCTTGGCAAGCCTGGCTCGCTCCATACACACCTTTTCCACACTTTATACAAATACCTATAAAGGAAAAAGAATGACAGTTAGAATCCTCCACTGCTCCAGGCCATTGGTTCATATCACTCATGATACCCCCACCATCAGACCCTAAATCAATGGGATCCCCACCCTGAACAGATTCAAGTACCTCAGACAGCTGCAGATGGCTTTAATGAAACTGACGCATGGAAATTAACCCAAAATAAGAGGGAGGGAAACCTCTGCTGGTGTTTCCATCCATGAAGGCTGAGGCTGGCTAAAGAGAGAAATCCAAAGGAGGCAGGTGTAACAAGAGGGGGCAGAAAAAAACACACACTCTCCAGAAATAACTCCATTTGCCCAAGAAATTATTTCACCTCCACATCTAGGTGCTCAATCTCATTACATTCAATAATCACTAATAATACAACAATCCGGTTCAAACCCAAAAGACTTCTCTTTGCCCCTATCCAGCAAGGCAACACCAAGAGCACTGGTCCATGTTGAAAGCCATGCAGCACCAGAAAAATGGGCCTGTCAGTCACGTTGAGAATTGTTTAACTCTCCACAGTTACATTAGATAGGAGTATCTAACCACATAAACATAACCTGGCGCCTTACAAAACAGAAGAGCAAGGCTTCTATCTTTCTACGGGAAAAAATACTGGCTGGCAGTTTTGCTTCAGTGGGGTCAGAAATTCACCTTTGCTGCCCAAACCTGTTCTTGATGATGCTGGGGATGACTCTCATGAAGCCTGCATCAGACCAAAGTGCGAAGAAGCAGAGCAGCACTCGTAAAGTCGGTGGTTACCTCCAAACACAGCCGGCTAATAGGAAAGGTCATGATTTCAATAATGTCTCTGGAAGAGGGTCTTAGGAGTGGTTATTTGTCCCATTTTAAAAAGCTTTTTCCTCATAGTTGCAGCTTTAAGTCTTTTGCCCATGCATTTATTTCTATCTATACATAACCTTCCTAAAGTCAAACCAGGGCAAGCAGGTAACTAAAAAGTCACTGCTTCTGTATCCTCGTGAAGAGGAAATGGAATGCTGGAGGAGAATCATGTCCTTCTGTCACATAATCAGGACTACTGATTGTAAATTCTTCCGAGATGCCCATTGGCCTCTATTTGACCACAGCAGGACAGTACATCCCAAGACAAGACTGTGTGACTTTTCTAAAATAGCACCACAGAAAATAAAAAATGAGATTTTGCCTCACACAACTCTATAATGATCCATGTGCTTGAGGGTCTCTTTCTACAAACACACTCATGAGCTTAGCATTAACCATTAGCATCAGCAAGATGGCTAATACACTTTCAGAGTCTAGAAACTTGAGAATTACAAAATTTGGCTTTAATAATCCAAAATTCTCCCCTGCTGTGCTGTGAACATTTATACAGACACACACAGAGAAAATACAAATGCAACCTCTTTGGGGGTAAATTAGCATATTATGAAGCGGTAGAAATTTTAATAGCAGAAAAAACAGAGTTAAGCTAACAAAGCATTTGGTGCCTTCATTCAGTTTCTATGGGTTTTGCTTTTTTTTTTCACTACCAGCATACAAACTGGCATAAGCAGTACATTAGTACTCTCTGCCTGAAACAGTTCCTATGCAGTAGTTCTTATATACAATTATACAGTGGATTGACCATGACCAGACACTCCCAGAGCAGCTCTGATCAGTCTCCTCCTCAACTGGACAGGGGAGAGAAAATATAGCAAAAGGTTTGTGGGTCAAGGTAAGGGCAGGGAGAGGTCACTCACCAATTACCACCATGGGCAAAACAGACTCCAGTTTGGGAAATTAGTTTAATCTATTACCAATCAAAACAGATTAGAGTGATGAGAAATAAAATCAGATCTTAAAAACACCTTTCCTTCACCCCTCCCTTCTTCCCGAGGTTAACTTCACTCCCAAACTCTCCACCTTCTCCCTGCCTCCGGCACTGCAGGGGGATGTAGAATGGGGGTTGCAGTCAATTCATCACATGGTGTCTCTGCTACTCCTTTCTCCTCAGGGGAGGACTCTTCATGCTCTTCCCCTGCTTCAGTGTGGGGTCTCTCCCATGGAAGACAGTTCTCCATGAACTTCTACAACATGAGCCCTTTGCACAGGCTGCAGTTCTTCATGAACAGCTCCAGCGTGGGTCGCCTCCACAGGGTTCAGTCCTTCAGGAACAGACTGCCCCAGCATGGGTCCCCCATGGGGTCACCAGTCCTGATAGCAAACCTGCTCCAGCCTGGGTATCTCCTTCCTCACTCAACTTGGTGTCTGCAGAGCTGTTTCTCTCATATTCTCATTCCTCTCTCTGGGTGCAGTTGTGCAGGTTTTTTTCACCCTTCTTAAATGTGTTATCCCAGAAGAACTACCACCACTGCTGATGAGCTCAGCCTTGGCCAGCAGTGGGTCCATCTCGGAGCTGACTGGTGTTGGCTCTATCAGAATCAGGGGAAGCTTCCAGTGGCTTCTCACTGAAGCCACCCCGTTATCCTTCCCACTACCAAACTAATGCCATATAAACCTAATGCAACACCATTTCTGAAACTGAGCTGTTTCAGTTCAGTGTAGCATTAACGCAGCCACCTGTATGGGCTATGTAGCGTGATCAGTTTAATCAGGATACTGTCAACTTAAAAACATACTGCATTTGAAGAAAAGAATTTCCCTATACTATTAATTCAAATGCGGAAATGAAAGACTTTTCTTTAAATCACAGGTTTCTTGGTGTTTATACCTTTAGCTCCCTCATTTCAGATCACAGAGAGATTAATTAACCTTTCACTCAATTAGCTCAGCACAATGTTGTCGTTTTGGACTGTAAGCATATTTGCCACATGAAACTGTAATTTTGAAAAACAACAACAATCTTAGAATCTTAAACCTGATGTCAGTGTTTCTGTGATGCAGGAACTACAATATTATCAGGCACCAATGTTCCAAGCTAAACCTGCAATACAAATTTGCTGCCAACTAGATCTGTCAGTTCATTCCATATACAGTGCTAAGAAAATGCTGATCCTGAGGGTAGATCAACTCTGATCCAGCAAATGGGAATTTCAGAAAATTTCTTGCCTTATCCAAGGCTGTTATGTCTATTTATTTTTTTGTAACCACAGGTTATGAAAAACATGTGCTATTTGCTGTGAGTTAATGGTTAGCTGCTGCTTAAAGATGGTTATTGATTACTGTAGATACTGTGATCAGAAAAGGTGCCCCATCAGCCAGCAGCTGCAAGAATTACTGCCAGCAGCAGCACAGCATCCATAAACCTGCCCTCTGTCTTACCATGCACCATGAACTCTGCAATGGTCCCTCCTGAACCTGGGAACAAAAGGGGTTGCATGCAGAACAACCATGAGAACATGGGGTTCACATCTGAAACAAGCAATCTGCTACTTCAGTGTCAGCTCTTGATATGAGATTCAGTTCACTCTTGGCAGTAGACAGAAGAAAGCCCCTTTGGAGCGCCCTGCTTATCTCCACCCTTTTTCCCAGTCTTTTCATGCCAAACATGTACCCAGGACTGGCAGCTATTAGTCTGTCCAACTGTGAGGTTATACCAAGAGATCTTATCCTTTCCCATTTACACTTAGTATTACTCAAAGAGCAGCAGAAATCCATAGTTTGTAACTCCCTTCCATCTCTGTCTATAAGCTCACATGCTCAAATCTGCCAGGAACTGCTTTGATAAATGAAATTATTGCCTCATTTCTTTGCCATTGCTCCACTGAACCATCAGAAGCAAAAGAAGGATTTATTGTGAATGTTAAACTTACACTGGGCTCTCCAGCAAGTGATTTGTTAGGAGCAGCTGTCTGTTAACTTATTTTCTCTATTAGACTAGTCATTAACTCCAGGAATGAATGACCACAGAGACGATTAGCATACTAACAAAATGTATGTATAATTCCAAAAGTGTATTTTGGAAAACATATATGCAGCTGTGGTGTGAGTATAGTGTGAGCTCATAACTGCCTAGGAAAAGCACTGATTACATGGCTGCTCTCGTCTGGTTTTCTACCAGTCACAGCCCAAACAGCACACTGCAAGCTTCTGAAAGCCCTGACATAACAGCCACGTCGCTTTTTTTTTTTCCAGATTTAATTCCAAAGCTTGTTAAAGTGTCTATGAAGAATGTTCTGTTACAGAGCAGCATGTCTCATTTCTGACACTTCACTCGACATGACTTCAGATCAACCCTTTCAGCCTCTATATAATTCCTTGCCTCTCCCCAGCACTGCTATTCTAAGCAGCCAACAGTACCTCCATTTTTGTAACACATCAACTACTGCATTTCCAACTAAAGGCATCAGCTCTCCTACAGATCTGGTATCACTCTTTAGCTAGAAAAAGATGTTGCATGTACCCAAAGTTTGAATAAAGATTGGCTGAGCAGGAGCACAGCGTCACAGCATTCCTTCACTGCAGCGAAAAGACATTTGCATCCTCATGCAGTGTTTAACCAAACATGAGAGTAGAGACTGACCAAACTCTGCAGACCATGCAAAAGACCACCACCAAAACAACACTAGCAAGAGAAGAAGCTCCCAGAGATTCCCTGCTGGAATCAGCCGCAGAACACTGCCAGTGCTCCCCGCACATTTAACCAATCCACCTCACTGAGCTTGACCATGTCAGTCAGAACATCATCTCTGGATGCAAGCCAGGCAATTCTCCAGCACTGTACGGCAACACAGTCGTCAGAAGCACGATGCTCTGGGTAACTCATGCATCAACAAGAGCTAATATCAGCACTGGGAGAAAATATGATGGGTATCTTCTGATGTAGTCAGTGATTTTGGTCCAGACCCAAGAGCATGCAATGCACTCTAACAAGTAAAACTATCATCAATAATCCAGAGGGGTTATTAAAGCTATGTGATTTTGTTCAGCCTGCTGTAACATACTGTAACATAGCCTACACATCGGAAGTTCTATTTGAGACCTGTACATCAAATTCTGGGACACTCTTTTGACCATGCCAGTACAATAGCAATATAAAATAATGATGGAGAGACTTTTCTGGCTAATATAT